GAATGGGGCCGACGGCGTCCTTGTGCACGCGCGCAGTGCACGCATGCGTACTAGCGCCTGTGCGATGCTCCAGCTGCTCCTGGAGGATCGTGCAGGCGCTGTATGCGTTCTGCGCATGCGTGGAAGTGCAGAACTCGTCAAAACCGGGTAAGAAACGCGGGCGGGTGGATGGATCCTTCGGCGTTCCCGGAAGTTACGTACTTCCGGGTTCGCCGACCAACCGGTTCGCGGGGACCGCCGCAAACCGCCTGAAACCCACCCCTGATCCTAATACATAATACAAAATACCCCAATATTTTAGGGATCTGTTAAAGATAGCTTTTTAGGCTAAGGCTTTTACTGCTGAGCTAAGTTCCATTAATATGTCTTTTATTTTTTGGCCTATGTGTAGTTAAAGTAATTTACTTATTTATTTATTACATATTTATATTGGCCATCTTCCAATATAAGCAGGGTTGTCAAACTCAAAGCTCTGTAGGCTGGATCCGGCCCATGGGGCCACCTTGGAAACAGCAGAGGACCAACCTGCGGTGCCTCCGCCAGTGGAAACGGAGCTCCGGAGGGCCGTGTGCGGCCCTTGCAAGCTCTGTTTTTGGTGGCAGAGGATTGCAAGAGGCTATTGCAGCCAGAATGGAGCTCGGAAGGGCCATGCACAATCCTTGCGAGCTGTATATTAGTTGACAGAGGGTTGCAGGAGGCTATCGCAGCCGGAAACGGAGCTTGAGAGCCCGATTTTGCTGGCAGAGCAGTTGGGCCACCATAGGCGCCCCTGACACGAGTGGCGTTGAGCTGGCCATGCCCACCCTGGCCTGCCAAAGTCAAACACAGCCCTGATTTGACCCCCAATGAAATCGAGTTTGTCACCCCTGCTCTAAAATGACTCTTGGCGGCTTACAGCCAGGTTATAATAATGTTTTACAGCTAATTGCTTTAAATGCATTGGCAATCATATAATGAAAAGCTGTCTAAAATATTTCAAGGCTAGCTAAAGTGGCAGCGTTCAGTCTTTGCTATAGGTGCAGTTTTTGGATTCCACTGATGAGTGAATTAGCATAAACAGAGGTTTCTTCTATATGACCTCCTCCCTCTTTCCCCCCCCCTCTTTAACAGGTTTTTCAACAGGTTTTTTCCCATGGCAGCAAAAATCTTCTATCAACTGGCCTCAAACTCTTGGAAGCTTCCGTGTTTGATATTTGAGACACGGAACTTCTCTATAGATAAAATGGTTTTCCTTTGGAGAAAATTCCTCTCAATCCGAGCTTTATGAGTTCTTGGTACAAGTGGACCTCAAAGAGAATTTCAAAGGGCAGCACAACATGTGCTCTGGGAGGCCAAAATCCTAGCTAACCAGGCTAAATGCTGTTGACCTTGGACTACATGGAAGCGTTATAGCAAATATCATTGGAACAAAGAATGCTGGATGATGAGCAGGACAAAGGCACCCTGAATCTAATCCCCAAAATAAGTGGCAGGCAGATATGCTGTCCACTGAAACACGCATAATTGTAGCTGGATTTAAATAAAGTATACTGTATGTCAGTGGTGGGATTCAAATAATTTAACAACTGGTTCTCTGCCCTAATGACTATCTGGGTAGATGGGGCTCGGTGGTCATGTGACTGGTTGGGCTTGGCCAACTCAACGTCACTCACGTCGATGGGCGCTTTGCCTTACCTGTTACAATGTAATAAGGGTTAACCGGAGAGGCAGTTTCTGTAAGCAGGGCAATAAAGATTAAGTTAGAAACAACACCAGAATGTTTCCTTCCTGCCTTCCTTACAGGATTAGCCCTGTAAAGTGGAAAAAGACCAAAAGGAGATTTCTTCCAACAACTGGTTCTCTGAACTACTTAGAAAGTTACCAACCGGTTCTCCCGAATAGGTGCGAACTGGCTGAATCCCACCACTGCTGTATGTTCTTGAAAGCAATGCCCTAGGACAGGGGTATGAAATTCAAGCCCAGGGGCTGGATCCAGCCCATGGAGTGCTGGTCTGCAGGGCTTCTGCCAGTGAAAATGGAGCTTTTGGCCCTCTTTTGCAAGCAGCCCTCCTGAGCTCTGTTTTCACTGGCCAAGTGTTTGGGTCATCACAGGTACCCCCAACACGAATGTTGTTGTGCTGACCACACCCCTGGCTCCCCCAAGGTAAAACACAACCCTGATGCGGCTCTCAATAAAATCGAGTTTGACATCCCTGCTCTAGGACTTACCTTAGCTGTCTTTACGGCTGCCCCATAACCAGTCGAAAACCCACAGCCAATCAAACAAACTTTTTCCACGGGGGCCGAAGGATCAATTTTGACCACTGAATTCTCATGTACCACAGTGTATTCGGTGAAGGTGCTGGTGCTAATGAAATGATGGAGACTCTTTCCTTTGCATGTGAATCGACTGGTGCCATCTGGCATTAAGCCACTGCCTGAATTAAGGCTGTAAAAAAACACAACACACACAGAGAGAAAAGGTTATAGTTGACAAAGAGGGACTTTGCTAAGATTGAAGGTCAAAGTCTGCCTGCAATTAAATGTTCTTTGCATTTCGCATTTGGGGTTTTCTAAGTGCACGTTGATGAGGGAGGGAGAGCATGAGTGGCTCTGCAGAGCATGCTAGGCTAAAACCAGATTAAATGATTTGTGGCCTAGTGCAGGGGTCTCCAAACTTTAAGACTTGTGGACTTCAGCTCCCAGAATTCTTCAACAAATTGGCTGAGGAATTCTGGGAGTTGAAGTTCACACGTCTTAAAGTTGCAAGGTTGGAGACCCCTGGTCTAGTATAACGTGAGAAAGGAACCAAACTGCAGCCATAGTATGCGGTGTAATTTAGGCCTTGGGGCTGAGCCACAAATTGCACATTATAGAATATACATTTTGATAAGCTGGGTCTAAGGTAAAACTCATCCAGATCATCAGCAGGGAGAAAATTAAACCCCTTTCTCCTTTGCTGAATCTGCCAGTAAACTATCCTTTTTTATTGGAATTTTTTTTGGGGGATACAGCATAACGAGGACAATGTTTTTCTAATTCAAATATAAACTTCAGGGAAAGAGTTTTCTAATTGCCTCTGCCAGAGGTGGGTTGCTCCTAGTTCGGCCTGGATTGGGCGAACCAGTAGTACTGGCAGTGGGAGCCTCCACCCACCTGCCTGGATGATTCTGCTCATGAGCAGAAGCATCGCAGCAATGGTGTGTGTGCGCACACACAAGCGAACCGGTAGTAATAAAAAATGGTAACCTACCACTGGCCACTGCCCAGACTTTACAACCATATTTTCACATGCACATCCATCCAAATAGAGTCCTAGTTGGATCAAAGGTGCTTTTTAAAAAGGCAACTGGACTATATTATTTTTTTCTCTTTTCCCTTCAGGAAGAAGACCTTTCACTTCTCATCCAAGAAGCTTCATCAGTTCGTCTGGGCAATTGGCTGTTGGGGGGGAGAGGTACTCCCTAAGTACTCTCTCAGAGAGAGTGATAACAACCAGGCGACTGCAAGAAATATAATCCTTTCAGCCCCACTCCCCCCATCATCCTGTCAAAATTAATCCTTTCCTACTCCTCCCATCTAGCCAGAACTGATGAAGCTTCGTGGATGAGAAGCAAAACGTCTTTCTCAAGAGAAAAGAACGAAGAGGGGGCGGGGAGTTCAATGGCCTTTTGGAAAAGCATCTTTGAGACAACCATGATCTGGTTATTTTAGAATCTCTATAAACACACAGTCCTAGTTGAAGTTCAGTATTGTTTGTTTGCTTGTTTTCCATTACTTGTACACTATCACAACTGCTCATGTGGTTCCCAAACAGTAAAAGGGATAGATTTCCGAAAAATCGTTGGAACAGCTACATTTTATCCATTTTCCAGAAAACGACTTAAGTACAGTCATCTGGATTTCAGAGTTAGGGCAGCAAACGAGAAACTTCTATGTCATCTTTGTTTCCCAGTGTGTGGGATACACAGGGCATCCTCCTGTGAGAAGTCTAAGTACAATCAGCTTGGAGGAAACATTTCTGAAGATACTCTACTCTAAGCACATTGGTATTTACAGGTTACATCCATGTACTTGGATATCTATTGGAAACCACTGCAGTGCCCACAATATAGGTGCCATTCTTCTTAACTGGCTCAAAGTACGGACTCTGTACCAGCTGTAGTTTTTAGGTTTCTCTTCAAATATGGCCTCAATGCACTGTCATAATCCAACCTGGATTTAATGAAGGTCTGAGTAACTGGGTTATAATCCATCTTGCCTCATTGCATCTGGATCCCTATAGCTTCTAGAAATTAGAGGCTTCACAGACTTCAGTTTTGTTCTAAGTATAAGCTAGATGTAAGCTAGATAAGTGGCACAGTGGTTAGAATGCAGTACTGCAGGCGACTTCTGCTGACTGCCTGATGACTGCAATTTGGCAGCTTGAATCTCACCAGGCTCAAGGTTGTCTCAGCCTTCCATCCTTCCGAGGTGGGTATAATGAGGACCCAGATTGTTGGGGGAAATGTGCTGATTGTGTAAACAGCTTAGAGAGGGCTGTAAAGCACTGTGAAGCAGTATATAATTCTAAGCGCTATTGCTATACACTGCTTGTTGATGATGTTTTTTTTATATTGAACCAAAGGAATGAGCAGCTTCATATTGACCCATGAGGGCGAACCTATGACATGTGTGCCACCCGTGGCACACAGAGCCATATCTGCCGGCACGTGAGACGTCAGCTCTAGTGCACATGCATGCGTAGGCCAGCTGATTTTCAGCCTTCTGAGGCTCCGGGAGAGGCCAGATTGTTTCTGGACTTCCAGCAGGCCCGATGGGCCCATTGTTCACCCTCCCCAGGCTCCGGAGGCTTTCCTGGAGCCTGGGGAGGGCAAAAACAGCTTCTCCCCACCTCCCGGAGGAAATACCAAGCTCAGCATGGAGGCAAGCAACATGATGTGCATGGAAGTGGGGGATGGGAGCATGGGGGGTTGTGCATCCATGCACATGGTGGGGCGCTTTGCATTATGGGTGATAGCACGCATGTGTGCTGGTGCACGCGTGCACTCACATTTTTGGCACCCAACAACAAAAAGGTTAGCCATCACTGATATAAACTTTATACAGCATGGGACAGAATGCCAATTTAGGTAATACGCCTAATAAAAGAGGTAACAGGCCTACCTGCTCATCCCTCTTCTTTACTGAATTCTATTCAGAAAGGAATGAAAACAGTACAAATACAATGTTCCCAATTCCCAGTCCTTAGAGGTACCCTAGTAGGCATGGGAGACTCTAATCTTTGCTAGCGGTTTGGAACTGGGACCGACCTGAGAAGGATGGAAGGCTGAGTCAACCTTGAGCCTGGTGAGATTTGAACTGCCAAATTGCAGTCAGCCGGCAGTCAGCAGAAGTAACCTGCAGTACTGCACGCTAACCACCACGCCACCCTGGCTCTTAGTTTACCTCTAAGTAAAATTTCTGAAGCTGCCGGTTTATCATTGCATATGATTAGAACTCCACCTTACCATTAAGATTAATACAGCACTGAAACCCTGGAGGGCCCATATCAGAGAAGGGGATACTCCCATTTTTGTCCACCTAAGTTTCATGATAGGTACCAGATTTTGTATACTAAATGCAGAGAGATGCTATTCAATGTTGAGAGTGGCTGGGCCTACAGAATGGTAGGGGGAAGAATGCTGCTTTTTAGTGAGGAAGCCAAGTTCAGAGCTCAAAAATTTTAGCCAGCTGGTATTCTTCAGCCTCTCCTCAGGAGATTAATTCTCCAGGACTCTAAATGAAATTAGAGGAATGTTACGCAACAGATCAGAGTTATGAAAGTTAGCAAACAAGTTCTTGCTTGTGGAGATTTTGCAACACTCTTTTTTAATCTTTGGCCTGTTGTACACCATCCTGTTGTTGAAAAGCTTAATTTACCTGTACAGTATGTTCATTGCTTCTATTTCCTTTTGTATATTCAGAGTATGTGTTGGAGAAGAGACAAAGGAAAGACAATTTGGGTAATATTCTAGAACAATTTGAGGATTTCCCTGGACTTATTCAGAAGCCGCAGTTGATTTGCTGTTGTTGAAAGTCACAAGTCCTCCCTTAAATCTGTCATGTAGTACTGAAAGCAATTGAGCTATCATATTAATCTTGTTCAAAGTTCAGTTAGAGATATATGAAAAATGTATCCATGTAACAATGATTAAATCTAGATTTAGATTAGAACAGTAATGGTTTCCTCTTATCTTCGCTACCAGTTCGGAAACGGGAATTCACGCACGGCGCTTCTGCGCATGCACAGAACCTTCCGTGCATGCACAGAGAATCTGTGATAATGTCTGGGCAGGTGGACGAAGCCTCCTGCCGCCGCAATCAGTTCGCCTAAACACCACCTCTGGATTAGACCCACCAAAGTCACCGATGCCTGATGTAAATGAGTAATTAATAACTAAAGCTCCATTGATTATGATGAATCTTTCCAATACATTTACTCGGGAGCCAACCCAAAGTCAAAATATTGATTCCATTTAAAGTTATTCTGAAGTGGACCCTTTAATGTCATTTCAATCATAATAAAAAAAGAATATATTAAAATACTGGTTTTAATAGAGAAAGAAAAAGAGAAGTAATTGAAGCTCACTCATTTGAAGAACACAAGTTGCCTTTGGAACTCTCACAAGCTCTGCATTTTCCACACTGTGGAACAAAAAGTGGAATTACTTTATCTCCTAGAAACAAAAGCAAATAGTTAGAGTTAGTATGATTCAAACCCATTGCAAGCAAGCTCAGAGCTATGTAAATGAGACAAAATACTCCTGAATGGTAGTCGTGTTTTCAGTTGATTTGGGATCCATGTACAAAATAAAATAATTGATTTTGATTGTCTATATTCTGTGGTTACGCTTTTATGCATTTTTAAGTACAGATATACACAGTATGTCCTCTAGTTAGAGATGGATACTAAGCATCAGGAGATAAATTAAACGGTTATTTATTTTACAAGCAATGCTAGGATTAGCATAATAAAAACTTTAAGATCCCATGACTTATATTCAGATCCACTGATTTTTAAATTCAAATAAAGTTTCTGTCATTCCTGGAACTAAGAGGCCTGATTCAGATTTAAACTAGAAAATGTCTTATATTTAGGACCTTCCATATGTTGATCCCAAGGATATACCTGTTTTGAATCAAGCTTGCTTGCTAATGACTTCATAAAACATTCATGTAATTTTTCTTGACAATAGCACAGAATAGTTTGTCATTGTTTTGGTCCAGTATATTTCCCCCCAAGTTTAGCTTAGAGCTGTGGCATTCCTTAAAAAGGTAAAGGTAAAGATTCCTCTCGCACATATATGCCAGCCCTTCCTGACTCTAGGGAGCGGAGCTCATCTCTGTTTCCAAGCCAAAGACACAGCGCTGTCCGAGGATGTCTCCATGGTTATGTGGTGGGCATGACTAAATGCCAAAGGCAGACGGAACGCTGTTACCTTCCCACCAAAGATGGTCCCTATTTTTCTACTTGCATTTTTACATGCTTTCGAACTGCTAGCTTGGCAGAAGATAGAACAAGTTACGGGAGCTCATTCCATTATGCAGAACTAGGGATTCAAACCGCTGAACTGCCAACCTTCTGATCGACAAGCTCAGCGTCCTAGCCACTGAGCCACCGCATTCCTTACAGCATTATAAACCAGATTACTTTCTAAATTTATTATAGATACAGTCCTTTCATGTCGTGTTAGTCCTTGCATTGCTTCAGGCTCCGTAAGTACAGGTAGTCCTTGACTTTAAACCATTCATTTAGTGACTGTTTGAAATTACGATGACACTGAAAAAATGGGATTTTTTGCCATTTTTTCATACTTAACAACCATTGCAGCATCTCGGTGGTCACATACGGTAATCATCATTTGGACACTTGACAACTGGTTCATAATTTATGAGGGTTGCAGTGTCCCGGAGTCATTCGATCCCCTTTTGTGACCTTCTGACAATCAAAATCAATAAGGAAGTCAGATTTACTTAACTTCACAACTGCAGTAACTCACCTAACAACTGTGGCAAGAAAGGTCATAAAATGAAGCAAAATTCACTTGGCAATTGTCTCATTTAGCATCACAAAGTTTGGACTCAATGGTGGAAATTAGTTGAGGATCACCTGTGTAGCTAGCAATTCCAAATCCTGTCAGTCAAGGAATTATGGCTGACCAGGTTCAGGAAAAGAGCTTTCTCTGCCATGGCTTCACTGTTTGGAAGGTCTTGCGCCTCCCCCCCCCCCCGTGTGAAATCTGCTTTCCCCCCCGACCTTTTATAAAGGCCTGAAGACCTGACTCGGCCAGTTGGCCTGGGGCCACAATGGAGACATATCACACTTGTGGTGGTTTATGGACCAGTAGCAGATCCCACATTCCCCTCCATATCCTGTTTTAATCCCATCTTTTAATCATAATTTGTATTTTTTTTATTGTATGTGTGGGCATAGTTTTACTGTTTTTAATGTTATAAGCTGCCCAGAATCACCTCATGGTAAGATGGGTGGTAAATAAATGAAATAAATAAATAAATATAAAGATAAAGATAGACTGGAGTTAAAAACTAGATTGCAAGGCAATAACTACCACCATATAGAAATCAAACAAAAGGAATGCACAGTCAATGCAAAAGCAGCTTATTTGATATATAGACTGTAAGGAAAGCTAATCGTATTTCCACTTTAGGGCAAAACATTTATGAAGTTCTTTTGTCTCATAAAACAGATTTATATAATAATTCTGGATACTATATTAATTTTTCAGAACATGGAATGTTCAGAACAGGGTGTTCTACTAAGAAGGCAGTGAGATCATGCAATGTGTGAGGTCTGGGCCAGATTTTAGTGTCCTTGTGTAACTCTTCCCTTGTTGGGCCCCAATTTTTCTCATACCCGGTTTCACACAAGTTACTCCTTCTCCAACACTCTCCACAACCCCAGCGGCTTCATGGCCCAGCACCATTGGCAAAGGCATCGCAAAAGCGCCACTGATCACATGTTCATCGGAGCGGCAGATCCCTGTGGCCAAAATCTACAAAACAAAACAAAACAAAACACAAAACAAAAAGCCATGAATTCAAATTTCTAGATCAGGGGTGTCAAACTAGATTTCTCTGAGGGCTGGATCAGCATTGTAGATCTCCTCCGTGGGCCGGCCAGGTGGGAGGGAGAGATGGGACGGACACCTCCTGCAGCATCTTGGGACGTAGAGGGGGGGCACGTGAGGCCCCCTGTGCCCTGTTTTTGGTCTGGATGGTCTCCTGTAGCACCCTATCAGCCAAAACAGCATGTGGGGGGCACATGATCCCCCCCTGCACTCCAATTTGGCTACCAGAGGCACAGCGGGCTGGTCCTTTGCTATTTTCAGGCTAGCTCCATGGGCTAGATTTAAGCACTCCTGTTCTAGATAGTGGAGAAGTGCCCTTGGTTGCATTTCTAGCTTGCATCTCATACCACATACTGAAAAGCCAAGATATTATGACTCATCGTGATGCTCATTATTTTTTTGAAGTTTTTCAGCACAGCGTTTTACAGTTGTTTAATCCAAATATTGTGTGCTTAATAGAATAAGGGAATTGAGAAATGAAGATACGAAAAGAGATTATAAATCTTGAAATGAAAACCTGATAATGAGCAATAAAACTCTGCTTGGTATTATTTCTATAGTTGAAAATATTCATCTGGCGAAAAAATAGGCTTTGTGTGTGTGTGTGTGTGTGTGTGTGTGTGTATCTATATCTATATCTATATCTATATCTATATCTATATCTATATCTATATC